CCACTTGATGCATAGGCAAGAAACTAAAAACCATATCAGTCAATGTTTTTAGGGATTTTCAGTGTAAATTTGGATGAACATAAAGTAATCGCAATTTGAAATGCCCATTGCTGATTATGAATGGTCGAGACTTAACTTTTTCCCCTTCAAAAAAAAAAGAAAATGAATAGAAAGAAAACACATCAGTATAGACTGTGCGATGACCAGACTCGTTCCCTTTTCCCCCCTATTTTGTGGCTTTCTTACCCTATTCAGCTCAGGCACTAATAGAGTCCCCACTAGCGTCCATCTTGAAAATAAAGACTGGTCCAAGAGTAAAAAATCACATTGTGTCCATATTGAAAATAAAGACTGGTCCATATTGAAAGTAGGTCAGAATATTTTTTCTTGTCCATTGAATCATCACAAAATTAAAATAATTGTAATAAGGACCAAATGGGAATTCAGACTCAAATTGTGTGATAAAATTTCAAATTTGTTTATGAACATGCTCATACATCATCCTTCGAAGACTACAACGATGTCCTTAGTCACCAACATAGCGAAGAACATTCAGATTCGGACAAAACTTGGTAAATTCTGATATCTAACCATCAGTAACAATTAAAGGGCACAATACCAACCTGGCAGCAACATGAGCAGTATCAAATCCCCCTAAAAAATTTAGCCAACCACAGATCGAAACGCAATATTAATAAATTAAAAAATCAAACATAAAAAGAAAAATAAAGAAAGACTTACCCAAATAAACAAGCTTCCCACAGTCCCTGCTCAAGTAAAAAAGAAGAGGGAAAAAAAAGAACAACATTTTTCAAATTCCACATCAAAATGCACTAAAAAATCAACTTTCAAGCTACATTCACACATCAACCATGAAAAGGATCAAGGAATTCTACCTATATAACCCGAAATAAAATATATTTGCAAACGTAGCCTCTAGAAGCATATATACCTATTAATTTAGCTCCGAATTCTAACACATTAAACTAAACTACCCCCAAGGTGGTATCTTTCGCATTGTTCTAACTCAACAACGTTAAATTAGGGTTTATACATAAAACTCCAAAAATCAATCTTTTCCAAAAAAAATCAAAGAAAAACTAACCAAATGTGAGATTCCCATCTCCCCGTCCTCCGATAGAACGTAACTCCAATATACTGCAAACTCCTCGATCTCGGCCCATGCCTGCTCCTCTTCATTGCCTGCTGCTGCCTCAAATCACAGCCCATTAAGCTGAGATCCAGGAAAGAAAACGAATAGGAAGAATTTAAAGTCCCAGAAACAATGCTCAAGTCCTCTGGAGACGACAAATTGAGATCAAACACCATTTTTTAAAAAAGAAAAATCGATGGAATAGTCTAAGAATTTCCAAAATCAAAAATCAAAATCAAAATCAAAATTTATAAACTGATCAAGACATACCAGAAATTATTCGAGTGATGGACCAAAAGCGAGGCCTCATCGAGATCGTTGACCCGGATTAGGTTTAGGATCTTGTTGTGGAGGTTGAGTCGTTTGCCGGCGAGGGTGGAGAGGGGTTCGGGGACCTTGGGGGCGTTAGGGTTTATAGGGGTTTTGGAGGGGATGCGCTGCTGTTGAGGCTGGCGGAGGAAGGAGAGGGGAGGTTCGATGCGGAGGCGGCGCTTGCGGCGGCGGCGCTCGGAAGCGGGCTCTTCGGGGGTGGCGAAGGAGAGGAGGCGGGTGAAGGATGGGAGGAGGCGTAGGGAGGGGATTAGGGTTGGGGTTTTGAGGTGGAAGAAGAGGGAAGTGAAGGATTGTGGATGATGAAGATAATAATAAGCATATTGATGACCATAATAATCATGCCGGAGGAAATTCGTAACAGACGAAACGGTGAAGCTTTACATATTCTGATTTATGAGTAACGAAAAAAAAGGATAATTTTGTCATATTTACAATAGTTGAAGGGCAATTTAGGATAGAGAAAGTTTTTCTAGTACTCCCTCTTTTAAAGGGTAGATAGATTTATATTTACTCATTTCTTTCATTTAATCGATGGGTTTTTCTTGAGAGATGAGGGTTTGAGATTTATTCTTCATTATCCTGCAATTAAAGATAAAAGCAATTATTAGTGGTATATTTATTCATATAAAATAGATAATGAGGGTATAAAATTGTAATAAAATGTGATTATCAACGGGCAGATTTTCAGATAGTTTCCAATTTGTTTTTACACTGTTTTGAGATGCATTCGAGGGATCCTAGTCGTACTTTTATACATGTTTATTCACGAATACACAAGTACAATGTTATTGCATACACATGAATATCCCGATGAGGATTTTGACAAGTATTGATCCGATTACACTTGAGTTAGAGGTGGTTTACATGGTTTACATAGTTTACATACATATGGATATCATTGATGAGCACCGCTCAGTACTATTTGAGATAGTGCGTCGATATACCATTCGTACAGAAATTGATTACACAGTTTATACATATATATGGGTTTGTGCATTGGTATTCTAATAGTACAGGCCATTGAGTCGGGTTTGAGGATGCTTGACCTAACAGTCCATCCCGCACCAGGGTGCGATGAGGCTGGTGAGCCGTATTTCTAGAATGCCTATTTGGTAGTCCGTCCCACACTCATGTTACGCACTAAGTTGCGATGAGACTAATGAGCTGAGTACACTGTTAAGATGCCGACTTGGTAGTCTGTCCCGCATGATACTGTGATGAATCATAACTTGCATGGATTTTATTGGTGATGATTTCTTGATAGCCTGAGTCCATGGCGGATGCCAGTTATGCGTAAGACTCATCGTTGAGATATAATACCGAGATACTTTGCTCTTGAAAGTATACGGGATTATATGTTGGTATTTATTCTATCTCCCCAGTGATAGTGAAAGATATTATAAATACGATGTATTAATGTCTTTATTTTCTTTACTGCTTTCTTTATTTCTTAGGTTGGGATCAATGATTAGCGATTCACAATTTGAGACATATGGTATATACATGAAGGTTTCCTTGTTTGGATTATTTTACTTGACGTACTACGTCTCGTGTTGTGGATTTCTAATTATTGATTTCATTTAGATTGTTTATCTCTAGATTGGTATTAATGTTTAGGCATCTACAATTTAAGACATATGGTATAGACATGAGAATTTTCTTGTTTGGATTATTTCGCTCGACGTACTACGTCCTGTGTTGTAGGTTTCTAAATGTTAATTCTACTTAGTTACGGGGAGAAATGATCTAGGTAGACTATGCTTAATAGATAGAACATTCACTCCACCTAGTAGCCCTTCCCCTGGGGGGAATGGAGGTAATCTTGTTGTAGTGCTCTGACGCTATTGTTGTTATTCTTTTTATTATTTTCTTTTCTTCCAGGCGGTACAGAGGTATGGAGAGTCACAGGATGACGGGGTTCTTGCATAGTCGCTGTCACATGAATTTTAGAGACTCCTCACTAGATTTTTATTTTATTTTATTTAGACATTAGAGTTTTATTCTCATTTTGTAAAGGCTATTAGCCTTAGTTACATTTCTAGTTGATTGCTGTCGAGATATTTTACATTATTTCAGATATCAGGTGTATACAGTTTTATTCATTTGAGACATGGTTTCATTTATGAGATTTATCATTTTATACCATGTCTATGTAATTATTTACCTTATTTTGCATGTTTTGTACCTACACTTCTTTTTTATTCCACTTGAGGATATTACAGTGATTAGTGAAACGTGTTATTGCACAGTGTGGGTGCATGACAGGTTTGACATCTTTGGATTCACCTTGGACAGTAGCCATGTGTGAAAACAGGGGCGTCACACATATGTACATACATACAGAGGTATGAGATATTGCGCCTGAGTAGATAACAATTGCAAATATATAAGAATCGGATAAGTGTTTGAATTTTATAAACCCCTAACATTAGGATATGGATTTTTTTTTCAAATTTATGTTCAAGTGAAAGGATTGAAGTTTGAAGTTTGAAGTTGTAGATTAATATACATATTAGGACATTTTGTTCACACGGCCCATCTAATAGGAAAATAATGACATCTTTTCTTGAGACCTTTAGTTTAAAACAAACGAAGCATGATAAAAGCTAAAGGTTTGCTCACATAAACTGATAATCGCCTTGCTAATGGCTAATGCCCGTGATATTTTCGGATCTGTAACTCAATAGAAAACCTAAAATTTTCACCTACGATCCCCAAAATCCCTTTTTCTCCTATGGTGCAAATAACAAATAAATAACTAAAATTTATGGCATTACATGGACAATGTGAAATCAGATATCGTTTCTGAAACATTGTAAACAACATAAAATGATAGAAAATTACTTGTTAATCAGAAAAGAATTCAAGAAAAACCCTAAATTTCCCCTCTGGTACCCAAATTAGGATATTTAGTTCACATGGGATTATGATATAATTAGGATATTTAAAGTTGAATTAGAATATAATTAGGTTAAGAAAATTAGGAAATTTAGTTTACATGGGATTATGATATAATTAGGATATTGGAAGTTGTAGTTCACTGATGATTAGGATAATTAGGATAGATTTGAATTGAAGTGTAACGTCTAAAAGAGTTGAGGGTATTTTTGTCTACCAAATTATAGATTTGAATTCAAATGTAATATCTAAAAGAGTTAAGCGTAATTTTGTCTACCGAAAGA